CACTGTGTTTTCATCCGTTGCACGTGAATTTACTTGAAAAGGAGATGATGGATCTGCAGATATGCAAAGCTACAAACGTGTGATAGAGTAACACTAAAACAGCAATCACCACAACAGCAGCAACAATAATATTATGAGCACTGAGGTGGAAAAACCACAATATGGTTCTGAAAGACGTCGTAGTGGAGGGTTTCGAAAATTCTGACCATCTGGGTGCTGCTTAATGTACACTCACATGGTATACTGAGGGGAACAACGCAAAAGAACGGCACGGAGAATGATTGAACACACGACCCTAGCGCTTCTGTCGTGTGTTCTGTCTTTCTCCATCCCGTTTTTGGCGCGGTCCCCTCAGTGTCATGTACCAACAGGCCCTTCACGAAACCCTTCGACATGGCATAGTCCACGGTCTTCTACTATTTTGCCTCCATTGAAATGCGAGCGCCGCAGCCAGGATCGTAAATTTGACAGTCGGGTCAGCTGCAGCCGATAATCGCAACCAGTGCCCCATTGAAGCAGATGACCTCTGACCAGGCGAGGCTCTGGCATGCTCCGTGCCCGTCAATGCAAGACGGGGAGGCGAGGCACCTCGAAAAACCGGTGGTTTCACTAAAAAATACAGAGCACCCTTCAAGAAACTTTCGCGGCTGACAGTCGGGTCAGCTGCAGCTGAGAACCGCAACCAGTGCCCCACCGAAGCGGATTACAACGATACAAGTGAGGGCTGAGAAGGCAATCTTGCTGGGTTTTATAATAATAAAGTCGCGGCTCATACGGCATTAGTGTTAACAATATCGAAGCCATACCTGCAGTCACAAGAGCTCCTGTTGGGGCGACATGGTCCTCTGTCGCGTCGTTGCATGCGGTCAGCAGCGCAGGCCCCCGTATCGTTCTAGCTTCCGTGCCGACGACAAGTGTTCACGAGTCCGCCATTGTAGCTGAACTCTATACGCCGCGAATACCAGACAGCGCCTGTGATTTTTCGATCGCAGATGTTTTCTGCACGCAAAGGACAGAACAATGGACAGCGTAGTATATATATATATAACCTCCAGAACTTCTCTATGGAATTGCCACTTTCTGCTTCTTCTTTATCTTTTTGGATAGTAGCTAAATATACGTTCTCATAGAAGGCGTGCTTCGTGATTGGCCGTTCCCGTTTTGTTGACGCTTCTCGCTTGCACTACTTGCAAAATACGGCAATCTGTGCGATAACTCTGTAATCTTTTATTCTCGTAATATACTTCACATCTCTGTCTACTTGTCCTGTGTTGCTTTTTTAAAATGCTTTCTTTCTAGTTACAGTTTGTTTTCGCCGCTAGTGTATGCAAATAGCTTTTTTGGCCTATTGATTAAGATAAAATCCTCCCCCCCCCCCAAAAATAAAAACAATATCAAGGTACCCTGCTTTCAGGTATCTTGTGTTTAAGGACTCAGAGCAGTGGCAACAAAACTGTGGTGCTCCGTCGGAGCGTTACTACAGAAACACTGTACCACGATTACCTAAATTTATGTAAATGAAAGAGAGCTAGTTATCATTCCACCGGGTGTCGTGTTTTTCCTTTAGATATAGACAAGCGTTCCTTGAAACGAAGATAATGCGGGAAGGGTTGCAATAAACGGCGTTTATGTAGCTCCATATGCTGAACTTGCAAGTGAAGCAGAGCTCTTATCGAAATAGATTGTATTACCTTCATAAAGACAAAAATCTGTAAATAGGAAACTGTAAATAGGAAACATACTTGCAATGTCCCAGATATTTAGAGACAGTTATTGACGCAGTGTCAATAAGTTGGCTTTTGCAAATTATGCAATCAGCGTTACGGGGGCCGAACCCTATGAAGTAGTGAACTTTTTCGTTTTAGGGGCGAAGCTCTTTATGATCTAGAGCAATCCCTTGTCCCACCGGCGTAATCAGTAGCGTCTTCCTTTATCATATATAAATGGCGCTGTCCCATAGAGTTGCATGCAAGCTGCAGGTGCGTGACGATATACTAGATGAAGTTGTACGCATTCTGTGTTTTCGCAATTTCGTGCCTAGTTTCCTTGATGGAGGTATGCCATAGAGATGTGTGCAATATGGCGGTTGGGTGAATCGACGCTAGATGGGAGTGGAGATACCGCTGCTCTTCGTTTCACTGCTGTGCGCGCTGCGCAGAGCTACGTCGGTGCACCCAATATTTCTCAATCCCCTTGAATGTCGCCGTACGTGTCGGATCACGCTTGGTGGCTCGAGAGGCTGCCGCCAAGGGAGGGCGGTGCCTGGTGAATCCTGAGATGGTGCGCGTTGTTATGACCGACCTCCCTGGCTTGGCACCACTTGGACGCATGAGATATTGCGGCTGAGCCTACCTTGGTTTATTCCGGCACAGCGCTCCCAGAGAAGCGCCAAGAACGGCGCCAGCACGAAAGTCTTTCTTCGGATTCTCCAGGGCCACCGACGACCCTGGTAAAACCATTTGGACACGCCGGACCGACTGACTAATTAGGAAGATCGATTGGTCGTCAAGTCTTCTTGCTTTGTACGTCAAGGTGCTCCGGACAATGAGGCAAGCGTCTGAGATCCGTCTGCGGGGCGTTTTTCACATACTCCGTGGTACCTTCATGACGACCGTTTTTCACGAGCCATGGCCTGCCCAGCAGCCAGGCCCTATCGATGAGTCACCACAGCACCCCTGACCACTCAGCTGATCTGCTTGGAAGACCCAACGTCCTTGTGCTATGCTGTGTCGTGCGTATTATAGAATTGTGTATTGCACAGTGTTTCTCCCTCGCCACAGGATGAACTGGGCGTGCCTCATCACTCTTTCCTGGGTTAGGGAGGAAGCGGTGTTTAACCTTTCTATTCAGAGGTGGAGGCAAAGAGGGCAGTTTCATTAGAATCTCCTGGCCTTCATTGTTTTTCCCTGCCGGGAATCGTGGGAACACCAGGGCATAAAACGCGAGCGTCAAGATGCTCACGTAAGTGAAAAATATAATAGGTCCACAATAGACGTGAGGTAACTCAACGTCACCTGGCAAGGCCCACTCGGGGATGGTCAGGTTAAACCTGAGCGCCCTCGCGTGGGCCCTCTGGACGACCAGCATTTGAGAAGTGAGGTTCTCTGCCTTAATCAGCTTCTTTATTTCCTTTTAGTGGAAATAGGAACCGGGAAAGACACAGCCTCACAGGACATGCTCAAAGTCCGCAAAACCTCCACACAAGTCCACACAAGTCGAAATCCGGGCTTGAGAACCGTTCGGGGTACATTGTGTGCAGTGTCACAGCACTCGGGTAGGTTCTTGTTTTGAGCAGTTTGAGAGTACAGCGTGGGCTCTGCACAGCCAGGAGGGTGGCAGGGTAACCACTTTTCTTGAGAGATAATGGTAGTTAAATATGTCGTTGTGCGTACAGAGAGGTTTGGATCGCCCAGGAGATTACACGTTACCCTGCACACGGTCAGTCATACCTCGTGCAGCCGAGTGCGCCTCCTCGTTCGGTTTGATCGAAACACCCTCAGTGGTTTCGAGGCGTGCAGGAAACCAAACCGGACAGTGAATTTCGAGGTATTTGGCTATTTAAAGGATCTGTAGGATCTGGAGAGCCACCATACTTATCTGAAATGCCTTGATGGCAGCCTTGGAGTCGGAATAAATTTTGTCATGCACACCGTCCGTCAGTGCAAGAGCGGTGGCGACCTGCTCTGCAACGCTCGAGCTAGAAGTGCGGTGGTAGCACAGCTGATTAGTTCAGAATCACAGTCAACGATCACTTAAGAGAGCTCTTCTTTTCGAGAGAAGCTCCTATCAAGCTTCCATCGAGAGCTTTTATGATGTAATTACGCCCCCATGATGTAATTACGCTCTCTTGAATCTGTATATAATGCGATTAGAAGTTCATGTTAACAGCCCCAGCTACTCTCCACGATATCTCCCTGTGACTTGGACTGGCTCTTACTAAATAAGCGCCAAAGACGCTGCTGCGAAACGGGCTCAACGACAAGCGGACCCCGAAATGCGAGAGCGGCGGCGAAGCGCGCGCGGTGCCGGGCGGAACCTGTAGCTGTTCCTCGGAGGAGACGCGGTATTGCCGAAAAACCTCCGGAGCTTGGCCCACCTCCCCATCATCCACTCCGTGGAGATGCTGGAATATTTTCCCATTCTTTGCGATGGCACTGCATATATATAGTTTGGACATCTTCACTATTTCAGATCTGCATCTTTCTTCAACATCAGTCGGTGCTAGATTCTTCATTGTCGTTTCCGCTAACGCTGAGTCACTCTAGACTTTCCTGTTTTGTTTGTATTAAACCTGTCAGCGGCTCTGCATCACGCCACTGCCAGCATTGAAGGGCAAACTCAGGAGAAAAGACTTAAACTGAAAGGAGAAAGAGGCCATATTATAACCCTTAACGTTATCATCTCCATTCCTAGTCGATGTTTTAGCTGGTGCGCATGCTGCATGCAGCTGTGATCGGCGGTAATGAAAAGGTGGTACCACTTCCGCATATACTAAAGATTTTCGAGTCGCCATCGATTAACACCGACCAAAGCGACGCATGTACCTCGCACACGCGAGCGAACGATGTACGCAAGGAATATTTCCTGGATTGACTTCTGCCAGCTATGAAAGAGTTGGTCGAGCCTTCCTTGAGCACTTGACCATGCCGTTCTATCAGAACGACATGATTCAGTATGCTGATGAAATCGTCATAGCTTGAACGTCATTCATTCACTCATTCATGTAATGCTCCCATCAAATATATTTTAAATATGTTAATTGTGTCTACGTAAATATACGCGTTCATCTGATAAGATGAAAAAAAAAATACTGTCACATGAACATAAGTAGTTTGCTTTTGGTAGATATACTCAATTTATAATTCAGTATATGGGTCACACAGAAACACCTGAAGAAGAAAAAAAATGTCCTTGTGTACATGCGCCTTCACGGCCGACATCACCTGTGCGTAGTAAAACACTTTCAGAACAATGAGACACAACCTAAATAAATGTGAGTTGTCTCAATATTTATTTGCAAAAATGATGGCGTAAAACATGTTTAAAATAATACAATGCCAGTAGCATTTCTCTGGCTCGATAAGTAAAAATATAGTAAAGTTTACGAGGTAGAATAGATTCTCCACACTCATACCACCGATGGTCATAACAGGCATCAAAGAGTCTATGCTCCTCATAGTTCTTGTAAAAAAAAAGTTCTAAGGGCTTTTCACACGCACTGCTTCTATTCCTTCTTTTCACACACTCCACCGAGGTTCACGTCGAGCACAAACGTCGCTTTGCGGAAGTCTGGGATGTACGTCAGCACGTAGGACTGGAAGATGAACACCATCAACCACTCAGCTACGACAGCGCTGAGCATTCCTTGCGGGTACTGGAAAGAGAATGAGAATATAGAGATTCACGCTCAGTAAAACGACAGCCTTACATGTCTCATACGCAAATAATTCCAGCGTTCGGTTACGTGAAAACGAATAATATACAAGGGAAGCGTGGGCCAGCACTTGAGCAACACCGGGCGAGGTGCAGAAAGGTTGAACATAAAGGGAGAGGAGGGGTTGAGGATGTTAGCGTAGTAAGAGTATGTATGGTGCCTTAACAACAAAACAAAAGACGATACCAAGGGAAAGAAGAAATGAACGACGCTGTTCTCGGGTCTCGTCTTTTGCGTCATTATGAAGCGCCATGCATTTAAACCAAGTTGCCCAGTCTGTCATCCTACCCTTATTAAGGGTATGCGAAGCATAACAAGCTTGAGAACAAGGCTGGTAGGTAAGGTTTAGTCATGTTTAAGGCAGCGGAAATAATATTTACGAAGAAGATAAAATAGGAGAAAAAAGCTCTCATCATGTCTCCTTCGCCCGTATTGTTTGAGCTCTAACCACAATGTCAAGCAGAGGTCGGAAAACTCCCTCAACAGTCGACTCCCGCGGACACTGAGAGCCAGGTAGAGCCGTGAGTGAGTATGTCTTAGTTCTATTTTGGGGAGGTAGAGTCGGAGCGAGTCCAGCCGAGAAAATGTTTATTAAGACTGAATCCGAATGGGATCGGTTGAAGAAAACTTTGTTGAGTGAGTGCGAGTGAGCCCTAAACGCGAAATACACCTCTTGAGTGAGGCTGAGTGAGCGCTACTATGCTTTTGCTGACTTAGGATGCCAAGTGATTGGAAGTCTTAATTCGCGCCTAATGTGAACGAAAGGCGAGCTTAGGGCGATCGGAAGTTACAGTGCATTCTGGAGGGGTTACATTTCGGTGGAGGCGAAATGCATGGAAACATTCGTCCAGCTGTGCGCGCGTTAAACAACACTAGGTGGTCAAAATATCTAGACCACGGAGCCCTGCACTATGGCGGGCGTCATAATCACACCCTTGTTTTGGCCCGTAAAACCCTAGACATTGAACAATGCAAGTGACAGAATAATAGAGTCACTGATTGTCTCGTGAGTGCGCATGTTTTTGACTGTACTGCCGTTAACGTTGTTTAAAGGGGCTGTAAATTTTGCTGTCCACCTGGTGTCAGACGCTGAAGACAGCACAGCTTTTATGAGTAACTCACAAAACTCATGAGTAAGACAAAATTTATATTTGTTCAACTATTCGTGAAAAGATAAAATAAAACAGGCGAGAGGAAACTTTGAAATGATTTCTAATGCGAGTGACATGTCCTGCGTTTTCTTGTTTACATTAGCTTTTTTTTCTTCTGGCGGTTAAATAGTTCATACGCCAGTTCGTCTGCGGAAGTAATTGAGACTCTTGGGTCGCATTATGTGTGAGTGAAGTGGGTAAATTATTTGTACCAGGGTTTTAACTATCTGGCCGTTGAGTACAATTGTACAGGGCAGAAGAATGGGTGTGTGGGAAAAACGACGAACAGCGCGACGCATGCTCTGAACGTTGGTGGCGATAAATATACTGAAATGGTCTTTTATAGTATAATAAATACCTCTAGTGGCTTTTTATTGCCATCCACGCCACGATCACTACGTCCACTCTCCGAAGACAAAAAGAAAAAAAAAGGCGAGACCACTGAGAATGTGGATACCACATCACTCGCGTTACTTTGTATCTACACATTACAGGGTAAGACTAATGTGACGGCTGAAGATAGCATTTCAATGTCACAAACAAAGAGCCAATGAAAATATACTATCTGGGAAAAACGTCGCTCTACGTGAACAAGATGAGATACCCCAAATAAACTTTGCATCTTCAATCACTCGCACGCGTGAAAGTAAATCTGCCCGTCATGTAACCACTACTTTAGCTCGTCACCATTAAGAGACGTATTTAATATCAATATATGTCAGGCATGACAGTTTTAGAACGGCTTGATTGATTGATTTGTGGGGTTTAACGTCCCAACACCACCATATGATTATGAGAGACGCCGTAGTGGAGGGCTCCGGGAACTTCGACCACCTGGGGTTCTCTAACGTGCACCCAAGTTTTAGAACGGCAGACTATTGAAAATAATTTGATTATTTGCTTAAATTGAGCTAATAATAATGACACAATATGTGAGGTTTTACGTCCCCACAGCTCGATGCGGTTTGGAGGGACGCCGTAGCGGAGGCCTCCGGAAGTATATGACCAACTGGTGTTCTTTAACCCGTGCTTACATTGCACAACACACGAGCCTCTAGCAGTTATCCTTCATTGAACTGCGACCGCCGCAACCGGAATCGAGCCCGCGGCCTTCGGACCAGCAGCCGAGCCCTCTAATCGCTACACCACTGCGGAGGTCCGTTCTCATATTTCTAGTGAATGTAGTATCTGTCTGTTCGGGTAGGACGAAATTTTGATCTATTCAGTTAAAAGCTAAAAGTCCCGTGTGTGAAAGCGTGCCTCCGTTATTTTGTTTTCGTGTTTATGTTACTGTCACGTATGGAAAAGCAATGTTTTTTTCTACGTAGGGTGACGCAACAGCAGACTAACGTTGGGGTTTTTTTTTTGTCTAATAAGTAGGCGCCTAGCTGTCAGTTCAATGTTAAAATTATTCTTCGTAGAGATGATGATTATCTGATAGATGCAAAAATAAACGCAGTGTAATCGCGAATTAGTGAAAACTCTCGTTCAAGAGCCTCTATGAGAAGGAAGATAAAAGGTTAGTTTCCCGGGAGTTGCCGCTAGCCATATAGTTGTTGTGCGGGGATGTCATAACGGTAATCTAAGGTGAGCGTTGCCTATTTATTCAAATAGTCAGTACCAATGGCACAGGAACGGCGAAAAATATATAAAAATAAAACTGCTACGCTTTTCATCTCATATGCATGTGATTACGGCCAACAATACACTCCTTTATCCGCGAAATAGTGCAGGTATAGGGCAAGTAGGTTTCTTCCTCAGGAGTGCGCTCGTTTCTCCTATAATATACTCGGCGTCTTCATATTTATTTTATTTCTTTTCGCACACTCCACATTGGTGATCGTTCATATCCGCCCGTAGACTGCAGGCAGGAGGACTAGGGCATATTTACAACGTCATGCGTTTGGCCCCTTAACGATTATAATCGAGGCTTAGTCTTTCTGAACAACATCCTCAATGATCTATGCACATGCAATACCGGGGTCACATAGATTCGCTTACCGCTCGTTATCGTTGAAAGCTTGATGGGGGTGTCTCTGTTAATGAATGTGTGGAAGAAAACTCATACACTCGGCGGATGTGACACAAGGCTCACTGCAATTGAGTGCCCCTTCCTTGTTTGACGCGATATCAAAAGAAGAAACAAAAAAAAGGGGGGGGGGAGCTTTTTTCTTTAGCGATTGTGCAGACGTGATTGAGGTGCACCATAGCTACACATCGACGTGCGGGTTTTCCTTGCGCAACTTTACAAAAAGAAAAAAGGGATCGGAACTGTGTTGAAAGGGCCCCTTGCTACTAGAGGTACACGAATATTGAAAAATTTTGAATAAGGAATCGAATAGTGTTTTATTAGATTCAGCGCTCGATTAGAAGAGCGCATAATAGAACTATTAGAGGATGTTTTCAGATGTTTTCGAATGACAAGCACCGATCAAAAAAATTTAATGAAATGAAACGTTCGAGCCCAGAGCGGTAACATTTTTTGTTCAAATAATCAAAATACCGAGACGGATGCAGTCCAGTGTTCTACAGGGCTGTCGACTCTGACAGTGAGTACAACATGAACGCGTTCTTGCCTGAAACTATTGTGTCGTAGACGTGACAGAGACATTATTGTACTATCTTCATCATGACATTTATGTTGAGGTTGAATCTTGAATATTGGCTAATACTGATGTAAAAGCTTATGACAAACTTCCACCTTGAATCCTTGAAGCCGTTGGTGTATTTCAGCCTTTACTCACTGAATATACTTGCTGGTGTGTATGAGGTTGCTTCAGTTTACCTAATTTAGGTTTTTTTGTTGGTTAAACGTATAATATACCCTCTTTTGTTAAACCTTGAGAAAATTTGTTTTATATAAAATGTTGGAAAGAATTTTTATTCTGCTTCGTAATTGGCTACGTTACCAATTTAGGGCTGCTTTGAAAATTGGTGCTGGACTAGTCAATTATTATTAAAATACCAGTATTCATTTCGTATTTGTATTCGATTTGGTGACTTTCATATTCGATTCCTAATTGGCTCGTTTATAATATTCACTATTCGCCCACCCCTACTTCTCACAGTTTGAGGCAGCACTATTGCGTAGAAGAACACAGACTAAGAGACATGCATTGGAAAAATGAGAATGGAAGAAATAATTTTTCTTATATATGCACGTGTTTCAGGAGCCAATTCAGGAAAACGCTCGTTCCTCCATCTGCGTCTTTAGCACTGACATGCCGCAGATGAGTTTTCAGAATCAGAAATCTCCGTCAGGAAAATCAAACTGTCATGCGCCAAGTGCGTTCATGCAAGCCCACAGCTACGCTTCCTTGAAGATGGAAGAACTCGCCGCGTTATATGTTTCTGTAGTACGGTGTCATTCACAAGAACGTATAAATCGAAATGAATAGCATCTAGAAGAGCCAGTTGGTACATGATGCTGAGGGGAACAGCGCAAAAACGGGACGGAGAAAAAATGATCAACATTAACAGTTTTTGTGTTGTGTTGAACATTCTTTCTCCGACCCGTTTTTTCGCTGTTTTCCTCAGTAACGTTTCTGTCACGAAGAAAGAGATCGCACTAAAGTGTATTCCAGCTGGCACTGATTTTCTAAATTTTGATCATGCAGGGACTCAGGTAAGGTCCATTCACACCATATACAGGTTGACATTGTATCTAGAACTAACAATGTAAATGTAAAATGTTAATTGCGGTTGAATGAAGCCAATGACGCATGGATTCCCATCAAATGGCACCCAGTTAGATGTAAATAGTATCACATTTCATTAGTTATTAAGTAAACTTAAATAGGTGCAGGCTTAAATTTCCCCCTGAGTGCCAAGTTTATTTCGTTACATCGACAAGGGCGTACCAAAATGACCGATCAAGTCCTTTGTGGCGACTTATGCATGCTGCCCGATGACTAGTTTTACTCCGGCATTTCAAAGAAGCCTGCGAAATACGAAATGAAATCACATGAGTACTCTCACACGCTCCTGTACTGCAGTGGTCTCAACCATGCTTCGAGTGTAAGAAGCATGGTATCTACCATGCTATAAAAGCATGATTGAGAGTGTGGGTATATTGTAGCACATGAGCACAGCCACGCTGCTTTACATCGAATTTCGCAAACTTTCTTTAAACATTAAAGAAAAAGCATGCTTTGCGCATGGAGATAATGCTGCGCAGCATGTAGCATTTGTAGTGTATTTTCGTAAGTAATAACACAAAAACATGCAGAGGGTACTACTGCAAAATTACGCCAATGCTGATAGGGTAATTTGGGCAAATTAGTTATAATAATTACATATTAGTGTACAGAGGCAGCCTTACCACTTTCCCTCGTCCAGTTGGCGGAGTCATAAGGCTAATGTCGAACATCAGCCAGTTGAGCCCCGCTGCGGTGTTACAGAAATGTCAAGGAAACATACGAAAGTTTACACAATTAGAAACGCGCCCAAATTTTTTAGTTTCTTGACTTGTCAATTCATTTTAAAGGTTAGACAAAAATAACTTCCCATTCAAGAAAATGCAGATAAAGCTAATTCAACGAACGTGACGAGACAGCTGTTTCTGCTTTTATCTGGGGCGCACCTTTTTGAGTTACGAGATTGTATTTTTTACTTTGTTTAAGCTCTACTGAAGTGTCACTTACTTATGTAACAAAAAGATGAAAATATAGTGTAAAGCCCATTCTATCTTGCCGTCATTTGGAAAAGCAACAGACAAAACGTGTAGATGAGAGACTTTAGCTCGCTCCTTGAGAGCCCACCTAATTACAAAAGGTAATACAGCAAAAAACGCTTACGAATCAACTTACGAACATAGGGTACAGATGTGGATGGCCAAAAAGAAAGAGGAACAATGAATGCATCAGATTAGGTGGAGGGTGCCTCTTCATATAGGCAGGCAGGCAGATAGATAGATAGATAGATAGATAGATAGATAGATAGATAGATAGATAGATAGATAGATAGATAGATAGATAGATAGATAGATAGATACTACTGGCAACAAACTACAGTTCGTTTTTTTTTGTTTTGTGGCACACCCTCTGAGGGTATATAGAGCTGTGAACTTCAATTATGACTGTCTGTCGTGATCTATCAACCCAGTGAGTCCTGGATTGACGTAATGATGGCGAGGCTACAAGCACACGATGATATTTGACTCAGCGCTAGGGTAATCGTTTCGCTATTTTTTCGTTTGTTCCTGAAGACCCCAGTTAATGACGGCTGTCAATGAAAAATGCTCGAAACTGGGGTCTATAGGAATACAACATTGATGGCTGACACCGCGTCGAGATTGCAGATGTGGCTTCGTAAGAATCCGTATTTCACGCAAAGGATACTGATAATCATCGCAGTGATGCCGACTAGAGATAACAGGGCTCTGGTGTAGAACAGTGGTGACGTCTTCCAGCGTGTGTCCGTCAGGTAGTGAAGGTAGAGGTGCAGAAGCGTTGTCGTGTAGCCAACACCGAATACCATAATGGCCCCGATCACGTGAGGCACGAACATGGGCCAGTACTGCGTTGATACGTGATATAAGCGATTAAGTATAAACCAGCGTTTCGTGCTAAAAACAAAACAAAAAAACAACGTGTCGCTTACGTAGAGGCTATGAACAATGAAAATACCCTACGTTGGCTTCGTGGGCCTGTTTGTGTTGCATCATGAAAGGCTACAGCGCACATATAGACGGGAACGAAAGAATTTCAGTGCTTGTCTTGTTTGTTTTTTTCTTCGTTCCCCTCTATGTATACGCTGTAGTCTTTCGAGGTAAAAGCATCGTGAGATGAGCATTTTCTCTGATAAATCACGATCCGTTTATGGCAGCAAAGAGTTGCCTACTTATGTCTTTAGCCTCGAATAGGAAACCATCTACTAAAATAACTATGTGCCAAGAGACGGACCCGTGTTTAAAAAATGTAGTCACGCCACTAGTTTTTGCAAGATACATTTTCAGCCAGTGATGATGTTGGACATATCATTAGAGAAGGTGGTCGACTAGTAGAAAAGAACACTCGCGACCGGAATTCTCTGGGAATGTGGCCCACGATTTGTAACGTCTTTTCTAGTTTATATATGCCACGAAGTTTAATACTAAAATTCAATGCCCTCTAAACATATTTTCAGCGGAACTACAAAGGTATACAGCATTCGTTATTTCTATGTTCCTCATTGGTTTCGATTAAAGAAGTACTGGCACAAAATATTCAAGGCGAGATGATGAGCGAGACAGATTGATGTAGAGATATCCACATCTACGAAATATCAAGGGCAAACATAGCCTTGAACATGTGATGATGATGTTAAAAATCAGTCTTGAAGTGCACGTCACATGATTGAGTGGGATGCAAAACGCCTCCCGACGCCGACATCAACGCAGGGGCAATATAAACAAACCTACGGAAATGAATTAGTGCTGGCTGGTTACTGGCACGCCCCTTGCACTCGCTCAACCTGTGATTTTCTCCTCCGTGCCTTCGGTAGACCCTACTTGCGGCTTCGCGTGTGCTGGTAACCTTTCCAACCTTTTTCCTTTTTCACGTATCATCGATTTCCACTGTACGTGGGATTGGGCAGTTTTTTTGCAAATTTAGTTGATCCAATCCCGACAGATTTCCGCAAGTACACTTCAAAATTAGTGATGTCGCACGTGCATGCATTGGCGCTAAATTTGAAAGTGTTTTCTGGTAACATTTTCAGTGTTTTCTGGTAATGGTAACATTAATGACATAAGAGTTCGCAGGTAACACTTTACCGATATAAACCAATTCATGGTTTCACTTTGGTGTCCCTTCAAGCTCGTTCTTTGTGCTCGAATGAAAAGTATTTGAATAAGCGGTGTAGTGAACGCTAGTCTTTGTAGAACTGCTCGATGTCTGTCTGTATGGTCGATGTCTTCCTCTAGCAGCAACTAAACTTGCTGTGTTAAAAAAACATAACACCACTTTTCGAACCTTTGACACCAGTGACATCTGTTGTTCAAATATTAATGTCTCAAAGCCTGCATGTTCTCTTGCAAGTGTCATATTCTTTTTTTTTCTTCCGCTTCGTGGCTTGGTACTTACTTCGAGTGCAAGGTAGCAAAACGGACGTGCGTCCCCGAACCTCCTGACCTTTTCTTGCCTCTCTTTTTCTCTATATTTTCTTATTGTTATATATCTATGCGAGTTAAAAGTGAAGTATCAAGGCAATGGCCAAGCATAACGTTCACGTTTCACGTGCTGCTGAAGACGCTTAAAAGCGTTCTTTTCGAAATTGCGACCACGGCGGCGTTCACGAGAACGCTTGCAATGCAACCAGAGCGTGCCTCACCCAGGTGCAATCCTTGCGCAGGTGTCCCGTAGGCGACAACGCCACGATGAGTCCTCCGAGACAGATGACAAGGCCGGCCATACAGCTCCACCGATTCACCGTGTCCACGCGCTCGTCACGGATGTGTCGGTTCTGCTGCCACACCATCAGGTACTTCATGTACATACCTATCACAGCTGAAACAGATCACATCTATTTGGATTCAGCTTTTACAATGTGTTCTAATAAAAAAGAATTGGCAGATCCCACGTCCAGTTGGAATCTAGGATATGCGAAGCACGAATGAGGAAGGTTGATATGTTACTTTAAAATGAGGACAACGTTACGAGGCCGAGGTAAATTAGGCCGTGCCTTCCTTGTCATTATTATCATGTTTGAACGTGTAATTTGCCTTCGTCGTCTTTTCACGTCACCTGATACTAAAATTGGTATATGTGGACCTTGTGAAACGGCCATAGGCACATCATGAATGGCCCTATACACTCCGACAAACGTTGACGCGCGTGCACGCTGGGCACAGCCACGCTGATCTAGCAAAGCGAACACTCTAGTGTGACGCCAGGCGCGATCAGCGTTCGTCGGCGCGAAATGTGACATAGTGCATTTCACGCCGACGACCTTACCCAGACGGCACTGTGTCTGCCTCTCTACGTGACGGAGAAACGCCCGCCGCGCTCACACGCGCATGCGTCTAAGCAACGCCTCCTCTAGAAAGATGCCTGAGGAATGGCTCGCGCTCCCTGCGGAGTTGGCCTGCCTTCAGTTTTAACAAGCGCCGTGCGGTGGCGCTTGCGACTGACACTATCGTGAATACAAGTAATACAAGTACCTTGGAGTATGGGTAAATGAGAGTGATAGATACATGGAGGTACAGGAAAAAGCCTCGGCAGCAAAAGGAAAGAGGAATGCGGCAATAATGAAGCACAGAGCGTTGTGGGGATACAATAGGTATGAGGTGCTTCGAGGTCTGTGGAAGGGTGTAATGGTTCCAGGGCTTACTTTTGGGAACTCAGTGGTGTGCATGAGGGCAGAGGTGCAATCGGGAATGGATGTAAATCAAAGGACTGTGGGACGCCTCGCGTTGGGTGCTCACGGGAAGACGACAAACGAGGCTGTAAAGGGCGATATGGGGTGGGCAGGTTTTGAGGCGAGGGAAGCGCAGAGCAAAATAAGGTTCGAAGAAAGGCTAAGAAATATGAAGGAGAGTAGATGGGCAGAGAAGGTGTTCCGTTATTTGTATAGGAAGAGCGTGGACACACAGTGGAGAAAAAGAACTAGAAGACTCACAGTAAATATACGGCTGGTATTGTGAGCCATATGTCAACAAAGAGCGTTAAGGGAAAAGTCAGGGAGGCGGAGAGGATTTACTGGATGGCAGCTATGGAGAAAAAACCGGCTTTGAGTAACTACCGAAAGGGCAAAAATGAAATAAGGAGGGAGGCATTTTACGATAATTCAAGGGGAAGCGCTTTACTGTTTGAAGCGAGATCGGGTTGCCTTAGAACGCGTAGTTATAAAGAAAGATACAGTAAAGAAGAAGAACAATGCACATGCTGCGGGAAAGATAAGGAAACGGCGGAGCATGTTCTGATTGAATGTGGAGATATCCACCCAGGTGTACGTTTGGGCACGAGCCTACAGGAAGCCTTGGGTTTTAGGGACAACAATGGAAAGCTGAACACACCCGCGATTGAAATAAGTAAGAGACGGTTAGAGTATTGGTGGCAGAAAATTAGAGAGAAAGGACAAAAATAAAATATGGACAGTGTGCCGTAAATGGCAGAGAACTTAAGCTGAAAATTTACCTTTTTTCCATTAAGATAGAATTTATCGAAGTAGAGGCATTAGGCCAACATAAAAAAAAAAGGTTTTCTTTTTTTTTGTCGAGCCTGGTGGCATACTTGTCACCACCCCGTTATAAAGGGGACGCTCATAGCATCCATCCATCCATCCATCGTCTCGGCGACAGGCGGTACCAGCTAAGCGTTTTTCATCTGCGGCCCATAGGGGCGCGTCAGTCGAGAGTTGTTCGAGACCTGCAAATGTGCACCACTGTTTCGGAGGCTATGCGAAAGTTGCGTTGTTGCACCGTCTGCCACAGGTGACGCTAGTGACCGAGAACATTTTCAACATGAAGGAGGGAAAGGGTGTCGCAGCTATTTTTTTCCCATGCGGCAGGCATCTTCCTAGAGGAGGCGTTGGTCTAAGCAACGCTGCGCCTCGTGCGTCTGTGCAGGCAGATCGGCGCCATGGTGTGCATCGCCGTCGTGACGCGACGAAACGAACGCCAGCACGCACGCGCTTCTGGTCCCATCGAAGTGTATTGGTGCCTTGAAGGAGGCATGTAGTCATGTTCTTACACGACACGCATCTCATGATTATCATGTTCGCACCAATCACATACCTTCGTCATCCATTCATGTCGCGTAATACCAAACTTTGTTAATATGAAGCTAGTGAAACGGCCGTGAGCGCATCGTCAACATGACATGTAGTCATGTTGTTACATGACACGCACTTGATGATTATCATGTTTTCACCGGTCACATACCTTCGTGATTCATTCACGTCTCGTATTACCTAAATTGGTATAAGTAAAACTAGTGAAAGATCGCGAGGACAACATGAGCGTGGCATGTCATGTTCTAACACGATACGCATCTCATGACTATCATGTCTGCTACAGTCATATACCTTAATCATGCATTCACGCCCCGTAATACCATGATTGGTATATGTGAAGCCAGCGAAACGACCGCAAGCGCACCATGAGCGTGGCGTGTAGTCATGACTCATGACCTACATGGCATGCATGTGATGATTTTCATGTTAAGGTATATCGCTTGCGTTCGCCATGCAGTCATGTCATACCATACCAGTTTTGCAACATGTCATGTGAACGAAACCACCGCGAGAGCTGCAAGACCATGAATTGTGAATCATGACTTTTATGACATACACGTTATGATTTTCATGTTATGACTAGTCAAATATGTTCTTCATACAGTTATGTTTTGCCATAATAAGTTTGGTATCGATACCATTATTGAAACGTCAGGAAAGCTAGAAGTCGTAAGCGGCTAGATAGATAGATAGATAGATAGATAGATAGATAGATAGATAGATAGATAGATAGATAGATAGATAGATATGTGGAGCTAGCGAAAGAGCCGCGACCATGCTATGAGCGTGGTATGTTGTCATGTTCTTACATGACACGCATTTCAGGATTATCATGTTTGCACCAGTCATATATTTCGTCATCTTTTGACGTCACGTAACACCAAATTTTTTATATGGAGAGCTAGCAAAACGGCCGCGAGTGCATCATAAGAGCCCAACATACTCCAATGTCGCGTTGACGTGCGCGCACGCTGGGCACAGCGACGCTACGTCAGTAAAACGCGAGAACTCTATAGTCTGACGACAGGTCGACCAGCGTCCGTCGGCGCGGCCCGACGGTAACCGGCGCGAATGCAAGTGACATGCTGCAATTCGCGCCGATGCGCTACGCGGACAACTCTGCGTCTCCCTCTTTTTGTGACGGAGGGACGCCTGACGCGATGAAACGCGCATGCGTCAAAGCAACGCAGCGCGGCGTGCGCCTGCAAGTATATGGCAGGACTGGCGCCTGGCATGGCAACGCCAGCGTGACGCGACGAAATGAACGCCGGCGAGCACGCGCACCGCGTCACGTCGAAATGTATTGGTGCCTTGACTGTGGCTTGTAGTCATGTTCTCACATGACACGCATCTAATGATTATCATGTATGTACCAGTCACATACCGTCGTCATCCATTGGCGTCACGTAATACCAAATTTTGGTATATGTGAATCTAGTGAAACGGCCGTGAGCGCATCATCAGTGTGGCATGTAGTCATGTTGTTACATGACACGCATGTCGTGATTATCATGTTTGGATGTGTCATTTACTTATGTCGTCCGTTCGCGTCACGTAATACGGAGTTTGGTACATGTGAAGCTAGTGAAATGGCCGCGAGCGCCTCATGAACGTAGCATGTAGTCATGTTGTTACATGACACGCATGCCATGATTATCATGTTTGCACCAATCACATACCTTTGTCATCCATTCACGTACCATAATACCAAATTTGGTAAAAGGGACGCTGGTGCAACAGCCGCGAGCGCATCATTAGCCTGGCATTTATTCATGTTGTTACATGACACGCATGCCATGATTTTCATGTTAGGGTCTGTCTCTTGTGTTCGCCACGCAATCTTGCCATACCATACCAGTTTAGCAACATGCCATGTGAATGAAACCACCGCAAAAGGTGTTCGACCACAAAATGTAATTTATGACATTCATGACATATATGTCATGATTTTCATGTTGTGGCTTGTCCAATATGTTCTTCACACAGTTATGTTATGCCATACCAAGTTTGGTATCGATAGCATTATATAAATGGCCAGGAGAGCTAAAAGTCGTAGGCGGCGAGATAGATAGATAGATAGATAGATAGATAGATAGATAGATAGATAGATAGATAGATAGATAGATAGATAGATAGATAGATAGATAGATAGATACGCTGAAAGTTGTCGAAGTTTGCTAAGAAATGCTTCGCCTTTAAAAACTACTCCGAGATTACAGTGGGTGAAGCCTGTAGTCGGTTAATACGGGTTCAACCTAAAAACAGATATATTCTTCACCCGCAATACTTCGGCGCGCTTCACACAACTCAGCTCCATATCAGTCTTCTCTCGGGACCAATCCGTAAGGCCAAGGAGATCCGCGTCCTTCGCCTCTTCATACACCACCAACGCAAGGCCGACACCACAATAGCCAAACTTCGCACGGTGGGCCGTATGGTCCGCCAGGTCTCCAACAAGCGGGGCGGATTACGAAGCAGGGATGCAATGCGGCTTGCCGATGCTTTCGTAACAAGTAGAATACTCTACTCGACTCCCTAATTGCACCTACGCAAACACAAGGATGATCAACTCGAGGTCATCCACCATAAAGTTATTAAGCGGGCTCTCGACCTCCCTAATACCACGTCCAACCAGAGACTTCTGGCCCTAGGCATGGTGAATACCTACCGGGAACTTCGAGAAGCCCACCTCGTTAACCAATACACGCGCCTTGCACAGACCCATTCCGGTCGTCGCCTCTTGGACCGAATACACATCAAACACGATTACTAT